GACCTTGTTATTGGTTTATTCAGGGATTTGACTTCTTCCTGGTTTAGTCTTGGGAGGGTGTGTGTGTCCACAAATTCATCCATTTCTTGTAGATTTTCTAGTTTATTTGCATAGAGGTGTTCATAGTATTCTCTGAGGTCGTTTGTATATTTCTGTGGGGTCTGTAGTGATATACCCTTTATCATTTTTTGTTGTGTCTATTTGATTCTTCTCTCTTTTCTTTATTAGTCTAGTTAGAGGTCTATTTTGTTAACTTTTTTGAAAAACCAGCTTCTGGATTCATTGACTTTTTTTTAAAGGGTATTTTGGGTCTCTGTCTCCTTCAGTTCTGCTCTGATCTTAGTTATTTCTTGTCTTCTGCTAGCTTTTGGATTTGTTTGGTCTTGCTTCTCTAGTTTTTTTTTAATAGAGTTTCACTCTTGTTCCCCAGGTTGGAGTGCAATGGTGTGATCTGGGCTCACCACAACCTCTGCCTCCCTGGTTCAAGCGATTCTCCTGCCTCAACCTCCTGAGTAGCTGGGATTACAAGCATGTGCCACAATGCCTGGCTAATTCTGTATTTTTACTAGAGGTGGGGTTTCTCCATGTTGTTCAGGCTGGTCTTGAACTCCTGACCTCAGGTGATCTGTTGGGATTACAGGCATAAGCCACCATGCCCAGCCACTTCTCTACTACTTTTAATGGTGATGTTAGGGATGTCAATTTGAGATCTTTCCAGCTTTCTGATATGGGCATTTAGTGCTATAAATTTATCTCTTATCACTGCTTTAGCTGTGTCCCAGAGATTCTGGTACACTGTCTCTTCATTCTCATTGGTTTTGAAGAACTTGATTTCTGCCTTAATTTTGTTATTTACCCAGGAGTTATTCAGGAACAACTTGTTCAATTTTTAGGTAGTTGCCTTTTTATTTTTTAAATTGAGACAAGATCTCAATCTGTCACCCAGGTAGGAGTACAGTGGTGTGATCAGGGCTCACTGCAGCCTCTACCTCCCAGGTTCAAGCAATCCTCCCACTTCAGCCTTCTGGATAGCTGGTACCACAGGCAAACTTTAGCCTTCTGGATAGCTGGGACCACAGGCTGCCACCATGGCCAGCTAATTTTCAAAAATGTTTTATAGAAACAGAGTCTCGTTTGGTTGCCCAGGCTGGTTTCAAACTCTTGGGCTCAAGCAATCCTCCCACTTACGATAATTTTAGGTCTCCCAAAGTTTTGAGATTACAGATGTGAGACACAGCACCCAGCCTAGTACCTCTTTAAATGTCATGTCATTTCCAACCTTTCTTTTTCATATTATTTTATGTTTATTTCTCATATCCAGTACATAGCTGGGCTCTTTTTACTTAACCCAATCTGAAAGGATCTAGCTCAAGCTTGTCCAATCCACAGCCCACAGGCAGCATACAGCCCAGGATGGTTTTGAATGCAGCTGAACACAAATTCATAAACTTTCTGAAAACATTATGAGATTTTTTTTTTAAGCTCATCAGCTATTGTTAGCATTGGTGTATTTTATGTGTGGCCCAAGATAACTCTTCTTCTGCCAGTGTGGCTCAGGGAAGCTGAAAGATTGAACACCCCTGATCTAGAGGAGGGAATAATTTAGTTCATTACTATTTAATGAAATAATTCACATATTTCACTTTATTCTTTTACTCTCATGTTTATCATTCAGATATTTTTCCATGAAGGTTTATTTTCTGTCCACACTGCTTGTAATTTTCCCCACCCCAAATGGAATATAATAATTGTTCATAATCTGCATAGATTTTCCTGCTTAAGTAGCATCCAATTATATGGATGTACATTTTTAATTTGAATCCCCTACTACTTGTCCTACATTTTTCTAATGTAAATACAACCATAGGCCATTCAGTCATACAAGTCACACACTTGAAAGTTATCTTTCACACTTCCTTGTCCTTCATCTCATAACCAACTTATCACTAAGTCCTGTTAATTCTACTTCCTACATTACACTCATCTTCCATCTCTCCTGCTATCATTCTAGTTCAAAGTACCATGAATCTGAAATAGTCTCCTGTTCTACCCACATCAACTTTGCTCCCACACCCATCCATCTTCTTCAGTGCTGTTCGAACAAAGACTACAAAGTAGATAATGTCACCTAAAACCCTATTGTTTGTTTCCTTATTACATTTAGGATAAAATCCAAAACACAAACCTCAAGGTCCTGTTATCTCCGGATCAGATGCACTTCATGCCACTTTCTTCTTTGCTCTCTGTATTTCAGCTACACAGCTTTTTCCCATTCTTCCATCAGATACTTATTCCTTCTGTCTATAATGTTTCACATATGCCTATTCTAGTCAACTTGTATTCAACTGTGACATTTCTGCTTAAATATTACTTCCTATGAGAAACACTCACTTACTCTCAGGCTAGATTAACCAAACCCCCACTCCAATACACTCCCATAGTATCCAGTACTTTTCTTTGTACCCACTAAACAAATAATGATACGAAATGTGTCTAATATTGCTTTACTTACCACTTTATTTATCGATTTACCATTTATGTCTGACACTATGATACTGTCAAGTAATAAGTTTGGTCTTTGATCTTGTTTCCTGGCATACAACTCTTAAAGTCCTTGAAATTTCCAAAATGACGTGTTTTTTTTTTTTTTTTTTGAGACAGAGTCATGCTCTATCACCCAGGCTGGAGTGCAGTGGCATAATCTCAGCTTACTGCACTTCCACCTCCTGGGTTCAAGCGATTCTCCTGCCTCAGTCTCCTGAGTAGCTGGGAGTATAGGTGTGTGCCATCATGCCCAGCTAATTTTTGTATTTTTAGTAGAGACGAAATTTCACCATGTTGGCCAGGCTGGTTTTGAACTCCTGACCTCAAGTGATCTGCCCACCTGGGCCTCCCAAACTGTTGGGACTACAGGTGGCCACCACACCCAGCCCAAAGTGATGTCAGTGATGTCTTTTTGTATGTTAATGATTAGTTGATGGCTGGCAACTCCTAGGTAGGTTTAGGATAGGGGCTGGTCATCAGAGAGAGCAAGACAGAATTAGAAGATTATGACTTTCAGCCCCACCCAACCCCCCAACCACTGGGAAGAGAAGAGGAACTAAAGGTTAACCAATGGCCAGTGGTTTAGTCAAGTGCCTATGCAATGAAGCCTCCATAAAAAATGAAAAGGACTGCACTGGGAGAGTTTCCAGATACTAAATATGTGGAGGTTCCTGGAGGGTAGTGTGCCTGGGGAGGTAATGGAGATTCCCTGTGGCTGCTCCCCTACATCTCTTCCTGTGCATCTCTTCATCCATATCCTTTGTAATAATCCTTTATAATAAATGGCTAAATGTAGGTAAGAACTTCCCTGAGTTCTGTGAACTGCTCTAGCAAATTAATCAAACTCAAGGAGGAGAGCACTGAAACCCTCACTTGAAGCCTGTTGGTCAGAAGTTTCAGAAGTCTGGACTTGCAACTGGTGTCTCCAGTGGGTGGGGGTCACTCTTGAGGCATAAGCCCTCAGCCTGTGGGATGTGGTGCTGTCTCCAGGTAGATAGCATTGGAACTGAATTAGAGGGCAACTAGCCAGTGTTTGCTGCAGAACTGCTCGCTTGCTTTGGTCTTCTGTGCTGACTATTGTGATGTGACAGCAGAGGAAAAAACAGCTTTTCCATATAGGCACATAGCAGGTACTTAACTGTTTAATGAATGAATGAAGGAATGCTGCTAAGGACAAACCTATCTATCATTCACACACACACACACACACACACACACACACACCCTTCACCTGCTGTTTAAAGTCTCTAATGTCTTCATTTTTATTTTTTATTTATTTTTCTTTTGAGATGGAATTTGCTCTGACACCCAGGCTGGAGTGCAGTAGTGCGATCTTGGCTCACTGCAACCTCCACCTCCCATGTTCAAGCAATTCTCCCACCTCAGCCTCCCAAGTAGCTGGGATTACAGGTGTGCACTACCATGCCTGGCTAATTTTTGCATTTTGAGTAGAGACAAGGTTTTGCCACATTGGCCAGGCTGATCTCCAGTGATCTGCCTACCTCAGCCTCCCAAAGTGCTAGGATTACAGGTGTGAATCACCACGCCCAGCCTAAACTCCCTACTGTCTTCAAATTGCCCTCATGATCCAAACTCTTTACCAGGGCCTACATGGCCCCACATGACTCGATCCCTGCCTACATCCCTGATCTCATGTGTGTAACACTCCAACATACCAAGCTCACTTCTGCTTCAGGGCCTTTAACATTCACTGTTTGGATCTTCACATGCTGGTCCTTCTCACCACTGAGTTTTCAGTGAAATGTGACCTCTTCAAACAGGCCTTTTCTTATGAGCCTAGCTAAAAGAACTAGCCCATCTTCCACCTCCCTCCTGCTACCCTATCCTAATTACTTTGTATTCTCATACTATGTTTCTAATGTTTCCATAGCAAATAGCACTTATCACTCTCTGATTAGAGTACATCATACATAGTAAATTAGGTACATGGTTTTTGGAAATTCTTTCAATTACTTGTATATATATGATTTTATGTATAGATTGTGATATAAAAGTTATTTCTCGTGACGGATCAGTTAACATTTTAAGAGACAGGATCTGGCTATGCTGCCCAAGCTGGCCTCAAATGCTTGGGGGCTCCAGTGATCCTCTGGTCTCAGCATCACAAGTAGCTGGGACTACATGTGCGAGGCATCATGCCCAGCACTGGCAAAAAATTTCTGAAAGCCTCTGCTATCTGCTGACCAGCCCACCAAATAACCAAATGATGGCAGTTCTTTCTTTATCATCCCACTGTTCTACCACTATAATTGGGACCAGGAGGCAATTAAGGTCTTTCAAACAGCAAGATTTAAAATAAACAATTTTAAAACTTCTCACATTAAAGAGTCTGTTTCTACTTAATATCAAATTGGCATTAAAGTTCTTATCCTTCCACACAAAGTGACTATCATCTGCATTCCAAATTTAGAATAAAGAAGAAATAAAGAAGATACCTTTTTAGTCCATCTTTTTACTCCATTATATCCTTTGGTTACCAGCTGTCTATGAAAAAAGCTGTTGAAGAAGTGAACCTGGAACAGACAACAAATACAAGCAACCAGATTATACTAGGCTGTGCCCAGATTTAACTTCAAAAGAAAAGAGATTTTTAAATGTTTGAATGCAAAGCAGACAAAAGGAAAGGAAAAATTTCTTCTTAAAGACAATGATCGAGGTGGCTGGTGGATTATTTGAGGTCAGGAGTTCGAGACCAGATGGCCAACATGGTGAGACACTGTCTACTAAAAATACAAAAATTAGCTGGGCATGATGGCAGGTACTTGTAATCCTAGCTACTTGGGGGGCTGAGGTAGAAGAATCTACTGAACCCAGGAGGCAGAGGTTGCAGTGAACTGAGATCATGCCATTGCACCCCAGCCTGGGCAAGAGTGAAACTCAGCCTCAAAATAATAATAATAATAATAATGATCAAAATATAGAAAATACATTATATGGTTTACAGAAAATGCTGTTCCAAATTTTTATTGGAATGATCTTACAGCTGTGGTCTATAGTCAGATTTGGAATGAGGCAGGAAATAGATTACCTGAATCCAATCAAGAAGAGAAGCAACCTGACAAATCTCTCCAAACCAGGTGATAAGAGTTGAAAGAGGCTATGAAAAAATGAGGTAACGATTAACTTGAACTCACAGGAGATGGATTACAAACTAACTCCATGTGAAGGACATGGATTTAGAGACTCCTGTTGTCATAGTTAACTATAAAAAGGGCTTAGCATGATTATTTCTAGTACCACAGAATTAACTTGGCTGTACAGAGTATCAGGTCTTGCATCCTTGGCTTTGAATTTCTGGCTTATAACTAAGTGGCATATCAGCTCATCTGAGATGGTAAACATATTGTGGTCTTAAAGTGTTCATTCAGTAACTTGAAATGATAAACCTGTTCCCTTAGCTCTGTGGTTCTCAGAGTGTAGTCACCAGACCAGTAGTGTCAGTATCACCTAGGAAAACTCATTAGAAATTTGAATTATCAGGCCTCATCCCAGACCTATTAAAGCAGAAACTCCAAAGGCAGGGTCCAGTAATCTGGTTTTATAAACCTTTCAGATGATTCTGATGCATATTCTTTTGATAGCCATGCAGCTTAACATACAGATAAAAAGAGCTGTCAGACGTAGTGGTTCACATCTCTAATTCCAGCACATTGAGAGGCAGAGGTGAGAGGATTACTTTAAACCCAGAGTTCAAGCTAGCCTGGGGAACATAACGAGACTCCCAGCTCTACCAAAAATAAAAATAAATTAGCAGGGTATAGTGGCACATGCCTGCAGTCCCAGCTACTTGGGAGACTAAGGTGAGAGGATTGCTTGAGCCCAGTAGTTTAAGGGGGCAGTGAGCTACAATTGCACCACTATACTCCAGCCTGGGTATCAGAGCAAGACCCTGTCTCTAAAAAAAAGGTTTTTTGCCAGGTGCAGTGGCTCACGCCTGTAATCCCAGCACTTTGGGAGGCCTAGGCGGGTGGATCACCTGGGGTCAGAAGTTAGAGACCAGCCTGACCAACATGGAGAAACCCTGTCTCTACTAACACAAAAAATTAGCTGGGTGTGGTGGTGCAGACCTGTAATCCCAGCTACTCAGGAGGCTGAGGCAGGAGAATCGCTTTAACCTGGGAGGTGGACATTGCAGTGAGCCGAGATAATGCCATTGCACTCCAGCCTAGGCAACAAGAACAAAACTCCATCTCAGAATAAATAAACAAACAAACAAACAAAGTTGTTTTATTTTTTAAATTTTAATTAGGCTGGCTCAGTGGCTCATGCCTATAATCCCAACACTTTGGGAGGCCGAGGCAGGCAGATCATCTGAGGTTAGGAGTTCAAGAGCAGCCTGGCTAACGTGGTGAAACCCCGTTTTTATAAAAATACAAAAAAATTTGCCAGGCATGATGGCGGGTGCCTGTAATCGCAGCTACTCAGGAGACTGAGATAGAAGAACTGCTTGAACCTGGGAGGCAGAAGCTACAGTGAGCCAAGATCATGCCACTGCACTCCAGCCTGGGCAACAGAGTGAGACTGTCTCAAATAATAAATAAATAAATAAACAAACAAATAAGAGCTTACAGTAGCTGTCTCTAGAGCAGTGATTCTCAAACTTGGTGTCCATCAGAGTCATCTGGACGGCTTGTCGAAACACAGATCGGTGGGCCCCATCCTCCAGCAGGTTTAGGTTGGAGTCTGAGAACGTGCATTTCTAGTAAGTTCTCAGGGGATACTGATGCTGCTAGTATGGGGACCATGCTTTGAGAACTGCTGCCTTAGTTAAGTGTCCTTTAGACTCCATGAATGTTTAGAATTAAATGTACAATGATGGTAAATGAAACCACTGAAATTAATATTTTTATGTTAAAAATAATCTATGTGTTTAAACTTTCTGATGATTAAGAAAATTTGACAATAGAGAATCTAGCAAATTAGCCTCTTGATTCCAATTTATAAATGTACAACAGATATGTAATTTAAGTGGAAAGTCATAAAACATTTTCTATATTCATAAACGGTATCAGAATCTGATTTTTTAGTAGTTGTTACTTTATTAGATTTATAAAAGTTTTATATACTTGGAAATTTTTGCACCCATCAGGTGCCTGTGTACTCAGAGAAATGCATTAAGTAAAAAATAATTTTGATATGTAATAAAACTCTTAAGATAATTTAGAGTTTATAAGGGTTGAATCTGTATATATTTGAACTGAGTATCAAAGATTTATCCAAGAAAAAATGAAAGATGAATACTTTTTAAAGAGATCAAGATTTTGGGTTAAATTTTAAAAGCTGGCCAGGTGTGGTGGCTCACATCTGTAATCCTAGCACTTTGGGAGCCTGAGGTAGGCAGATCACCTGAGGTCAGGAGTTTGAGACCACCCCTGGCCAACACGGTGAAACCTCGTCTCTACTAAAAATACAAAAATTAGTCAGCCATGGTGGTGAGCACCTGTAATCCCAGCTACACGGGAGGCTGAGGCAGTAGAATCGCTTGAACCAAGGAGGAGGAGGTTGCAGTGAGCCGAGATCATGCCACTGCACTTCAGTATAGGTGACAGAGCAAGATTTATTATTTAAAAAGTTAAATAAATAAGTAAATGTAAGAAGCTTAACTAGTCCCATTTTGCGTATCTTCCCACCAAAACAACAACAAAAAGCCCTCTCCAGATATTAACAAACATACTTACCCTAACACAAATTAACACAAATAAACAGGAAAACAACTGCACAGGGATTTTCTTGTGCAGAAGTAATCTGATGGAACTTAAGGTCAACCCCAGTACATGATCAAGACAAAACTGAATTCTCCTTTTTAAAAATGTAAGGAATGTCAAATATTTACAACAAGTTTAAAAACAAAACAAAACTCCTCCTTTTAATACACAAGGACACTCTCTCCCGGAGAAGGCGAAGTTTTCACTTACTTTGTCTGGGACTGCATCCATTATCAGCTCACCGTACATATTAATGACCTATAAGAAGTCAACATAAAACCAGCTTACAATCTCTACCAATGAGTTGGAGAAAGAAAAACAGAACAAAATAAATAAATAAAACCAGGCTACTAACCCTATGCAATTCAGAACACCCCCATCAGAATGAATAATATATTATTACTGTCAGCAGTAATCAAACCATTTGGATCCTGGGGTTAGTAAGTAACGAATAAAGAATCCTTGATTCCAAAAGACAATCGAGAGGCCAAACCAGAGATTATATTTAATTGACCAACATCCTCTGCAACTTCTCCACACTGACAAACTACAATATACTAACCTGGTCATTCAGCCAGTTCTGACCATCCAGAGTCGCCAGGTCGTCCATATCCAGCATGTGTTTATTATAGAAGATACGGAAGTTACATTTTTGATGTCTGGCCCGATAGTTTGTTATTTCTCTATTGATAAACGGTTTTCTGAAACAGAAATATTTTGAAAGAAAAGGTAAAAAAAAAATTAGTACTTCTCAATTTACTGCTAAGTATCTTCTTTTTTTTCCTTAAATCAAGAGAAAAGTCATATGCTAACAATTTTATTTTCAAGGGCTTAACTTTAGCATCATTTATATACCTATTAGAAAAGTCTTCATTAAAGACATCTTTTAATCTTCCAAGGACTTCTTTCTCACTGAGTGGAACCAAACTGCCATACTTCTTCATAACTTCATCTAGGAATCCTTAAATAAAGGAAGAAAGACAAATTAAGATGGAAAAACAAGCCATTTTCAGTAGAGTCATTCTCCAAACACTTAACCTATACACAGCTCCTAACACATACAGTAGTTAACCTATATTACTATGTTATATTAATGACACTGTGAAGATATATTTTTAAAGGTATGTCTGTCTTTTGTTAAAAAAAAATTAGACTCTAACCATTGTAATCTAGAGAGAAATATTGTGAGGCATCATTTCATATTAGATTTTTAAGTTACTGATGCATTGTTAGAGAAGGAATGTATAGGTACTAACAGCTTCCCATAGCTTAACCTTGGAGAAGAATCCTGTTTCTTAAAGCATGAAATCTAAAGGGCTTAATCACATAGTCAAATTTGTCTATCCTTTTGGTAACTAAAAGAATTGTTTTAAAATTAACAGTAAGAATTGATGAGATCATGGTGACTCTATTACTTGGTAAAGGTGTGTAATTTAGTATCAGCAAGGAACAATATCATACAACTTGGTAAGAATTATTATACTCATGACACTGAATAACCCTGCAGGGTGAGCTCAACTGGATAACAGCTAGTAAGGCACACTTTAAGACGGTAAATAGAATTTTTTTGGAGATGGGGTCATCCTGGCTGGGGCATAGTAACACAATCTGTGTTATAGACGGCTCTCTGTGGTGAACACAGTAACACAAAGGAGTCTGAGCTCACTACAGGCTCAAACTCCTGTGCTCAAGCCATCCTCCTGCTTGGATGCTTAGCTGGGACTACAGACCCATGAAACCACACCCAGCTAATTTTTTAATTTTTTTTTTTATATGGGGTCTTGCTATGTTGTTCAGGATGGTCTTGAACTTCTGGCCTCAAGTGATCCTCTCGTCCCAGCCTCCCAAGATAAGAAATAAATTTAAAGGTGACTTTTTGGCCACATCATAGGACAGTCTTCAGATTAATTTAAGTAACATATATATATACTTATGTATCACTGAATGATCCACTGAACCTAAAAAGCCCCAGGAAATAAACCCAGGACATTATTTCTAAGTAAGTACAAAAAAAAAAAAAAGCTGAGGCAAGACTTAGAAGCTCACAAAAGTACACACATGACTTAGGCTTTTCACCAATGCTGAATGGGCAGAGCAACAACCTAGCTAACTATCAGTCTGACAGTTAAGTGTACTGAGTTAAGACAGGAAAAATGAGGATTGTTAACCACATGCCAGCTCCCTTTGTAACTCCAAGAATGGCCTCTGCTATGCAGTGACATAAACAGGACAGAAAAGATCACAAGAGTATCTTGGGAATGAAATGTTTCACCTCTTATGCGGGAAGAGACAAAGAAGTGAAAATTTATTTTTCCTCCTGTTAATCTCCTAGAGTAGTTCTCAATTTTAAGGGCTTAATATATGAGCAAAGGTTGGGGCACAGTAAACAGAAAAGAGGTGCTTTCTCACGTCCATTCTTCTCTAGGCATTAGGCAAATACAGTAGACAGGAAGATAGTTCCATGTTTCAACTTAATCGGCATAGGGGATAAAGATTTGGGGCTTCCAAACTAGGAACAGACCATATACTTGCCGCTAGTGTTTGCTATTTCACATCTTGCAGTTTCCTAATCATAACCTGTGTCTATGATGGGGAATGGGCCCAACGGAAGATAAGGAATCTCAACATTTGAGAAACTGCACTTGAGAAATAAATTTCATAGAAAAATAACACCCCTAACTACAACAACAAAAATTAAACTTTAGGCCCCACAACCTTGATTGAGGATCATCAAATAAGAAAGAAGTTCTCCACTGAGTGCAGTGGCTCAGGCCTGTAATCACAACACTTTGGGAGGCTGAGGCGGGTGGATCATGAGGTTAGGAGTTCAAGACCAGCCTGGCCAAGATGGTAAAACCCCGTCTTTTGTATTTAGTAAAATACAAAAATTAGCCAGGCGTGGTGCCAGGTGCCTATAATCCCAGCTACTCAGGAGGCTGAGGCAGAGAACTACTTGAACCTGGGAAGCAGAGGTTGCAGGGAGCCGAGATCACGCCATGCACTCCAGCCTGGGTGACAAAACGAGATGGATGGAAGGAAGGAAGGGAGGAAGTGGGGGAGGGGAGGGGAGGGGAGGGGAGGAAGGAGTTTCTCCCACAATGGGATATGGATCTGAATTTCAAATTAGTAACATGGTGCTCTTGTTAACAATATTATTTCTGGTGGTAGTATTATGAAGATTCCAAATGGTTACACATTTTCCTCTTATCTGTATCTTTATTTCCATTTTCAGATGATAAGCACGGATTTCTTATGCAGTAGAAATGCCCTTCAGGGAAGGATCTTCAAGGAGAACCCTAGATGACAATATCTCACTTATACACACCATTATCTCACTGGGACCAGAGTAAAACAACAGTTAAAGAACGCTTATCGTAAGACAAGCAATAGCATATCTCATTTAGTCCTTATAGCTTCCCTGTATGTAAAGATAATATCCCTACTTTATAAATAGAGACACTGGACCAGATGCTGTAATTCCAGCACTTTTGAAGGCTGAGGCGGGTGGATCACCTGAAGTCAAGAATTCAAGACCAGCCTGGCCAACATGGTGAAACCCTGCCTGTCCTAAAAATACAAAAATTAGCTGGGCATGGTGGTGTGCCTGTAATCTCAGCTACTCAGGAGGCTGAGGCAGGAGAATCACTTGAACCTGGGAGGCAGAGGCTGCAGTGAGCCAACATTATGCCACTGCACTCCAGTCTGGGCGACAGAGGGAGACTTTGTCTCAATCAATCAAATGGAGATATTAGAAGCTTACAGAGGTTAAATAACCTTCCCAAGGGCACTTAACTAGCATACAGTAGAACTAAGATTCTGATTATAGGTCCCGTGACTACAGAAACTGGGCTGTTAACTATTATGCTATACTGCTTCCAAAGCAAGAAATATCTCTTATCTTTTCTCTACAAAAACAACTTGGTTACTCACCTTTCCTTTTTAATATCTGTGGGCCAAATACTACTCAGAACAGATTTTATAAAATGACAGTTAAATCCACCATTCTTCACCCACTTGTGTTCACTAAACGAATCAACTAAAAAAGGAAAAATAACACTTGGTATACACAATCTGTTTTACTCCAAAAGTACTAAAACTTCAAACTGACCCAAGAAACAAAGGGTAAAATGTTAGGAAAAAAACAACAAACAAAAACTAGAGTTCAAATTATAGAGCACTCTCCAAGTACAAAAGGTAGTAATATGAGAAACAAAACCTATATAACTCAATCAAGACAGAAAAATTAAAAATAAAAATAAATTTAAAAAATAAAAAAGGGCCGGGCGCGGTGGCTCAAGCCTGTAATCCCAGCACTTTGGGAGGCCGAGGCGGGTGGATCACAAGGTCAACAGATCGAGACCATCCTGGTCAACATGGTGAAACCCTGTCTCTACTAAAAATTACAAAAAATTAGCTGGGCACGGTGGCGCGTGCCTGTAATCCCAGCTACTCAGGAGGCTGAGGCAGGAGAATTGCCTGAACCCAGGAGGCGGAGGTTGTGGTGAGCCGAGATTGCGCCATTACACTCCAGCCTGGGTAACAAGAGCGAAACTCCGTCTCAAAAAAAATAAAAATAAAATAAAATAAAAAAGAAAAATAAAACCTGAGGTGTTATTTTAGAATTTAAAGTACCCGGCCAGGTACGGTGGCTCACGCCTGTAATTCCAACACTTTGGGAGGCTGAGGCAGAAGGATTGCTTGAGTTCAAGAGTTCAAGACCAGTCTGAGTAACAAAGTGAGACCCCAGTCTCAAAAAATATAAAAATTGGCCAGCTGTGCTGGCACATGCCTAAAGTCTCAGCTACTTGGGAGGATGAGGTGGAAGGATGGGTTGAACCTGGGAGGCAAAGATTGCAGTGAGCCAAGATTGTACCATGGCACTCCAGGCTGAGCCACAGAGCCAGACCAAAAAAAATAATTAATTTAAAAAAATTAAAAAGAAACAATTTTTTTAAAAAAGAACTTAAAAGTACCCATCATGTTAAACTAAGGGCACTGGACAGTTTTCATTTTATATGACTGACCTGGGTCACACTCCACCCTGAATGCGGAGTGAGGTTCACGGTGTTATGCACATAAGAAATGCAACCACATGGTTCTTCAACAAAATATAATACATACTTCGGTAAGGGCCCATCAACAATAAGGAAGGTATAAAGTATCTAAAAACAAACATAAGGGGCAGGCACAGTGGCTCATGCTTATAATCCCAGCACTTTGGGAGGCTGAGGCGGGTGGATCACAAGGTCAGGAGTTCAAGACCAGCCAGGCCAACGTAGTGAAACCCCGTCTCTACTAAAAATACAAAAATTAGCTGGGCATTGTGGTGGGCGCCTAAGGCAGGAGAATCACTTGAACCCGGGAGGCAGAGGGCGGAGGAGGCTGCAGTGAGCTGAGATTAGCACCACTGCACTCCAGCCTGGCCAACAGAGCTACATTCTGTCTCAAAAACAAAAAAAGAGCAAACATAAGGAATGTGCAAAACTTAAGTGAAAAGCTGCGAAATACTAAGGGACAGGAAAACTCAATATTGCAATAAAAGCAGTTTTCCCTAAATTAATCTATAAATATAATGCAACACCAAGTAAGAACCATACTTTTAAAAAAGATTACAAAACAAATCCAAAATTTACCTTGGGACAAAAATGTGAGAAATTCCTAGAAATTTTTGAAAAGAATTAAAGGAGAGAAGTGAATAAGAAGTGACTAGTCCTGTCAAATTATAAAACTATACCAATTAAGGCAGAATAGAGCCAGCATGGAATAGAGATCAAATCCAAAAAGAGACCCAATGGCAGGCTGCATTTCTGAACCACAGGGAAAAGAACAAATTATTCAATAAATAGTATTAGAACTAGCAACTAATTTCATTAGTTACCAGACCCATGTAAATAAATTTTAAAATTTTATTAACAGCTGGGAATTCATTTTGGTATAAAGAATGAGGTAAGGATCTATCTT